AGGCTTCCTGCTGCGATGGCACAGACAAAAGGCTGTTGAGGGAGTCATTTGGATAAAGGAAGCCTGGTTTTTCCAGCATGCGTAACTCCAGCTGACGTGTCCAGCCATTGTTGCTGGGAGCCTATTTTTCTGGGTTTTAAATTCTCTCAAATGAAGTGCCTCATCAATCTTTTTGGCTTTGTGTAACTGAGAAAGGGGAAAGGAATGCAGGGACCAGAGCCATGTCAGTGTGTACAGTTTAAGTAGGATGGGGCCAATGGAGAGAAGAGCCCCAAGAGCAGCTCAAGAAGCAGGAAAGCAGCATGATGGAAAGCTTTATCGGCTTCACTTAATACAGAGTGGTTAATACCTATAGCTATGGCCACAGGAACACGCTCATAAGCTGAGTAGCCATTGTGCTAACAGACAGAACTAGAACAAGTTTCAGTGGCTAGATGCTGTAATATGGCCAAATTCAGACCAGAAATCAGAGCGCTTACCCCTGCTGCCGTGATTGCTCCCGGAAAGGACTTTCCCCGGTGTGTGTGAGTTGGCTGCAGGAGCCTGCCCATGTCAGATGACTGTAGGGAGAACACTTGCAAGTGTGGCACCAGGAGAGGGTGGGGGGGGGGTTTTCCCAGTAAATGCTGTTTTCTCTGGGTGTTTGTTCAGTATTTTTGGAGAGAAGGTTTGGTGTGGAAGGAAAGGTACTTGCTGGAAAACGGCCAATGAGTGTGGAAGCAATGTGGGCTTGGAAGTCTCTGGGCTATCCTCAGTTTTGTTTGACCATGAAAGCAAGACGAATATCTGTGCAGAGGTGTGGTCTTGCTATTCCTTCCTGTTCCCAGCCTAAAGTGGAAGGGGAAACAGGAATTTAGGATGCCCGGGCCAAGCCCCGAGGGGTCTCAGTAATGTTTCCTTGTCACGCCACCCAACCTTTGCTAGTCCACAGGCATGGCCACTGAGCCATCACACTGCAGGCAGGGTCGTTCTTTTTCTCTCCCAGTTTTAACTTAGTTCTCGTGTTGTCAAGCAATGCTATCAACAGGTCCAGAGCCTCCCCACTTCCTTAGCAGTTCCTTATTGGAACTGGACTGGACAGGCTTCCAGTCAATTACTGGTTTTGGTCTGTTGTGGACATTACTGAAAGACAAGTTTGTCCTACTGTGAACCTTCATCAGTTCCTAGAACAGCTCTGCTCTTACAGTGCATCTTGGGATGCCTCCTTCCATAGCCCAGAGCCAGGCTGAGGAAATGGAAAAAAGCGCAGGGCATATGTGACTAAACAGCATTTGATGCATGATCCTTTGAAGAATGTGGACACTGATGAATTGTTGCCATAGCTCAGATGGCACCACAACGCACACAGCTTGAGACCTCATGGTGATCTGGTTTGTTTATTCAAAAAACAGAATGGCAAATCTGCATTTTATCTGCCCAGGATATAACTAAGGATATAGTTAAGTGTATTTGGAATCAAGTGGAATATTGGCGATGGAAAAGTGCTAACAGATAGCCATCTTCACTGGATAGCCCCAGGTAGAACTCGCTACAAGCATCTTGTTTTCACTGAACTAAAGAATGGAAGAATTTCCAGTGTGGGCAGTAATGCTGGTGGTTGGGCATGCTGCATGTGCAGCAGCACGCTGAGCAAGGAGCCCCTGCACCGTGAGAGAAGCAGCATCTCCCGGCATTGCCAGTAGGACTGCCAGAGAAGCACGCAAAACCTCTCATGTGGAAAAGGAAGCTAGACTCTGGCCTGTGGCCCTTCAGAGGTTTCTGACCGCTGTGGTAGGTTCAGTCTTTGCTTATTATCTCACTGGCTGTGGAGGTGAATGGAAAATAACTTTCTGTGGGCTGGGAGGCCTGTGTTTCCCGGGGATCGTATTTCTTACAGAGCTTTATAAGGGAGCAGTGCTATTCTTGAGCTGATCTTCCTCAGTTTTCACTAAGGTCATCCCTAGTCTCGGATGAGAGTGCTACAGGATAGGCCTGTTTCCCCTGAGAGTCACCTCGTGATCTGACCTTGTGTCTGAGTGATCCAGACTGACTGCCTGAGCTCTCTGATAGACGGTTTTCAGCAGTGGGAGTGGAGAGATTATGAGCAAATATTCCAAGGAAGTGAAAAGCAATACTTTCAGTTCTTGGTGTTTGTTTTCTTACACTAATGCAAGAAGCTGAAAATCTGTATGTTTTGCATAGCAAGCCTGCTTTCAGCTAATAATGCTTGCTAGAGATTTGGATAGTTCCCCCCCCACCCCCCCCGCAAGCCCAGTCTTCCCTGAATGTAGAGTACTACAGACATGGTCGCTCCTCTTGCCGAAGCAGTTCCTTAAAAGCAAAGAAAGTTGTCTTTTTCTGGTTATAGGAATCTTGCTCTCCCTCGCGGCTCTTGATTTTGCAGTAATGTCATATGGAGGAGGTTGAAAGAAAATGTTTGCTGCCTCCAGAATACCCCTTTGGGAGCCTGTTAACAATAAAAGCTTTATAGTTAGACACAGGCAGCTCCTTCTGGGCACTCTGCCTGAAGGTGCAGAGGGCTTGAAAGAGGAAGGCTAAAAAGAAGCAACTGCTATTCATGCTGCTTATCAGTGCTTTAGGACTGATACTTCTGTGTGTAAGAACCAGGAAGTTGGGGAGCTTTGGGGCACAAAGTTGCTGCTTGCCTGCCGCACACCCAAATCTGTAGTCCGTGTCTGCAGAGTTGCCTGGAGCTCTAGAGAGCTGTGCAGGAGCATAGCAGTATTTGGGCTGGCCCCTTTCTAAGTACCTGTAATTATTCGACAGATCTCCTTTGATCTCAGTCTAGGGAAGAGTAAAGTGTTCTGCTGTAGTTGGAGACCGGGTAATCCCCTGGCTAACAGCCTTCCCCTTTGCTTCTTTAAGGACTCTTCAAATCTGTGGTATTGTTTTGCTTTTCTCTGCTGGGTCCTCTGACACCTGGTGTCTTGCACTTAAATCCAGAGGCAGTAACTTGTGAGGAAACATGGGCAGTACAGGAATGCACCTACCACTGAGCCTGGTGCAGGGAATCCCTGCAACTTGGCTTTGCCGTGATGCACGGATTAGTGCAAGATGGGTGTGAAACCCCTATCGACTGGGTTTCCTGTGACAAAGCAAACAGCTTAAGCTCTCTGTATGTTCAGTAACTGTGACTGTTCAGTAACGTGTGAGTCTTAGCCTCTGAGGCTTGTGCGGCTGACCACAAAGGCCTTTTTGTATCTGAGCTTAATTGTTGATAAGAGCTGTGCAAAACCAGCCTTTTTAGTTAGAGGCAGTATGGCCATCTCCTCTTGAACTGTTGGGGCTAATATTTAACTGTTCTCCGTGGGTTAAAGTAGCCCCTTGTTGTAGCCTATAAAACTGCATCGCTGGTACAGGTGAGCCTTTCTTTAGCTGTAGTGTTCATTTCTTCTAATCTTTCCCTCTGCTGGTGGGGAGATGTATTCCGGACTGCTCAAGATCAATCTCCAGGCAGACTGCTAGTTTTTGAAAAGGATAAATTCGGTTGTGTAATTACCGTGGAGAGGATGAGATGCTCATTTTGGAACTAGGAACAGGGAGAGAGATTGTCACGTGCTACATATGAAGGAGAAGGCAACGTAGTCCAGCTCTGAATGTCCTAATGAGCTCCATTCAAATGCAGTGCGAAGCCACTGGGGTTGCAGCAGGGTTTCATCATGCCTGGAGCAATCCATGTGCAGGTTTCATCGGTCAAGGTTTACTTTGGTTGGCACTATTAATGAGCAAAGCCTGGCAGTATTGGGCAGTACCCAAATGGCGAGGGTCCTACTAAGGACAGCAGCACAGAAAGCAGAAGGCATCTGTCTATTCATAATGACAACTCACACACATGGGAAACTTAAAATGTGTTTTAGATACATTAAATGCTCCCATGAATCCAACTGAATGTCAAGTGACAGTACTGTGGGGGTCACCAAGATGATATTGATCTTTTAAATTCTGCCACTAGCCACAAGCTCAAACCCCTCTGTGCTCCGTTTCAGTGCTGAATTAACATTGCTATTCTTTTCTGGCCATTCGGTATTCGGTGATCCCGGTATTCGGTGATCCCTGTGGAGTGATGTGGCAAGAGTTCAAAGGCCAAAAGTGAAAGACCAGTTCCAGCTCAGTACTTGGGGAAACTCGACTGAGAGCTCAGAAAAAGGAGCAGTCAGAGAGCACATACGGCTGCTATCTGTACTAGCAACTCGGAGCTGAAGTGGCAAGGTCTTGAGCCAGCTTGGGAACCCGAATTGCAGGCAGGCTTGTGTAATAAGTTGATCAGCAATGGCAAGGTTAGATTGTGATGGACTGGCACCTTCCAAACAAGTGAAATGCTATGTTGAACTTTTTCCAGCTGCCCCAAAGGCAGACCAGCTTTGTTAGAGAGGGAAGGGAGCGTCTGTCTCCGAGCCCCATCCTGTAATGCTTTACCCAAAGCCTAACCTGCTTTTAAGCGCAAATTCCTCTTGTCCTAGGTGAATTTGCAAGGGGTCTGACTTTGACTTATCCCAAAGCAGTCAGTAGGTAAAATGGATGCATATCCAGCCATCAGCTTATGAGGGCAGAGATCGTTTTTGGATTTAAGCAACAAGCAGTTACTACAAGAAGAAGAAAATAAAAATGTATTTAGGGTTATGCCTGGAAGCTTGCCTGAGCTCTTGGGTAGGTCGTGGTCTGAAAATTCTAATTTCTTTGACTGTATTGGTGGCTACTCCCATAATTCACACGGATGTTCCCAGTGATGCCTCCACCAGATTAGAGGTAAAGGGTTTCTTTCCTCTAACACCAGGCTAACCCTATTGAAAACAGTATAGGAAACCTCCCGTATTTGCAGAAAAAGGTGATTTTTTTTCCCCAATCTGTATTGTGGTAAGCTTAGACCAATAGATAGGAACAGTGCAAAGGTCCTGTCTTGTCTGAGAAATTGGATCCGTGTGCAGAGTGTCTGGGAGCGTCAGGAGAGAGGGTGTGCACGTTCTCATGGGGAAATCTAGAGGGAAGACCAGCCCACTCTTTCAGCGACACACCTTTGGGGAAGCACTGCGTAGCGAGTGCCTCTGGGCAGCAGGAGCAGAGCCGCTGTCTCTCCCTAGCGCCTCACCATGTGGTTTGTCAGGAGAAGGCTTCCTAAAGTTCCCAGGGTCCTGTCTTGGCTCCTTGTTTTAACACTCTTTCTCCTCTCCGTTGCTAATTCTGGCTTCTTGTTTGACTTGTCGAAGAGAATGATTTTCAGGTAAGAGACCCGCTTCCTTTTAAAACACGCTGTCTGGACAGAGTATGCTCTCTTTGTCTCTCATTCTCTCTCTCATTCTCTCTTTTTACCCTAAAACTTGTACTTCTGATCTGAGTTAGATGACTCTTGTGCTTTAGCAGGCCGTACTGTATACAACCAGAGCACGGTACCGGAAGATTATATTCAAAGACTTGCTTCTGCTGGACGTCTGGCTTGCAGTGTTTCCTTGTGCAGCTGTTTAAGAAACCAGCTTTTTCTTTTCTAACACTACATTTTCTCATACTTTGGCACTACAAAGGATATGCTTTTACCTTGTTGGCTCCCTGAAGGACCTCATTCAGCCCTAATCTGGATGGTGTTGCTGGAAACAGAATTTGGTGGGATACCTTCATATTTATAGAGTTCAGCATCTGACTCCTAACACCAATATGCAGTGTACTAAGTCACTGATGTCAGGCAAATGTCATCAGTATGTGTATTATTTTTGATATCGAGGATTAAGTAAACCCTACAAGAATGGGTGTGCAAGGAATCACATTGTAGAGTGGGGTAAAATGTCTCCAGCATCATCGGCTGGAAGCGGTATTTTGGTATATGAACACAGCAGGTATTCAAGCCTTTCCTGCTGGAAGCATGGCTTGCTCTCACATTGGTGCCCTGTGTCATGCATAGGAAGCACTGCTCCCCACCATCCTCCCCAAGCCTGGCATGGGCCCAGCCGTGCTGGCGAGCTCATCTCGGTGGGGTTAGTTTTCACTTGGACCTCGCAAGGGCCAGTGCTACGGGGCCAGGCTGGGAATGCCTCTTCTGGGTATGGTTACATGGTGTGGGATTGAACTAGCTTGAACCACTGGTGAAACCACACCTGGAGGGCAGCCATCGATCTAGCGAGGTCAGAGGCCTCACCAGGCATGCAGCCTGGAGGGAAAGAAAGGGAAGGAGGTGTGGGAAAGTGAGTTGTGCTTGGTCACAGAGCCCATCAGCAGCAGAGCTGAGAGGAGAACTTGCTTTCCATGCCCAGCTGCTTGAAGCCATTTCATTCTGCTGTAGGCTCATGTGCTGCAACTGTCCGTAGCATTGCGATGTATACTGAAGCACCTGGGAATAAGCTGTGCGTGGCTATCTGTGTTTCGCTTCTGTTGCTGTACCTTCATGTGCAAGCTAAAATAGAGAAAGCAGCTTTTTCATCATGGCTTTATTCTGTCTTTCTCCCATGGCTCTGTAATTTGGAGAGCAAAAGTGACAGTAAATGCCATTGTGCATCTGCAGTTGTTTGCCAGCGTGGGCTCTAGAGCCTGAAATATGATGAGCTGGATTGACCATTTGACTGGATTTAAAATGCTGGTCAGGAGTGCAGGGCCCTGTGTAGGCACAAGTGCCTCAGCACACGAGCCTGAATGCAGGAAAGTTTTGGATGTGTCATTTGGATGTGAAGGGCCCTCAGTTTAACATCTTGGTCTCTGTATGTTTGGCTCAGTATTTGAAATTAAAATGTAGTAGAGCTGGGATAGAATTTATTCCTGCAGAGACAGTACACAGGAAAAATCTGATGTGTGCGTATGATTTGTCATGCGGTCCCGTTTCCACTGTTCTCTGCCCTCTAATCTTTAAGCATCTTTTTAGCAAAACAGAAAATCATCCAGGTATTTAAGATCTGCCTGTACTATGTTACCAAGCTTCTCTTTACTTAGAGTAATATAAAATTTTCCCTTTATTTGCCAGTATGCAGTAACACAAGTGTATATATGAAGCACTGTGATAGAAAGCAGCTGCTGCATACTTGGTTCAAAGTGGCTAATGATCATGAGGGGAGGTAGAGGAAGAGCTGATAGGCTGTTTACCAAAAACTCTTTTCCTTGGAAGGGTTGGAAAGGTCCAGCATTTGTCTGATACAAAATGATTTTTTAAAAGGCTCTCTAAGGTGGTAAGTTTCTAATCAGTTTAATGAATGAGGAAACTCTTTGAAGCTTCAGTAGCACTTGAGCTGCTATCTACAGCTTGCTATTTACAGAGGTGATTTTTTAATCCATTTGTCACCTCAGAAGCAATCCACAGCTCTCTAAAACAAATGGATCATAAAATGGGCGAATGTGAGTGTAAAATTAGACTACCACAACTATGTTAGTTTGTCCTGAAAAGCTCTCCTGTACATAAAGGCTCAGCTGCAGAAATTTTGCAACTTCCTTTCTCCGGTTTACCCTCCAACCATTTGCAGATAAGCATGAACGTTTGGGAGAGAAAAACTCACCGCTTTTGCCCTGATGCTTTGCTGGGTTTCAGCCCAGTCGTCTTGTTGCAGGTGGCTTTTCTGGTGTTTGCAGCTGTATCTCTTTATGAGATTCATGTACCTGGCTGTACCTCTAAATCAAGGAGCAGGCAGCTGTCGTATTAGAGGCGATTGCTGAAAATGCAGGGATTTTGCATTTTTTTCAGCTTAAAAGTGCATTTTAATAGCTTTAAAGTGCCTGTCTTAAGGCGTGTGTGCCTGGCCAGCGCTGTGTGATGCCTTTGGATTGCCTGGCTAAGAGGGTAACGGGAAGGAAAAGGTGCCTTGTGGCCCCAGCTACTCAAGATCTGGATGGCTGGATTCAGTCCCTGGTTCTGAGCCAAACTCAAGCGGCGAAATTGGGCTGTCTGTGCGTTGTTCTGTATCTGAGATCAATGCCTTTGTCTGCTCTCTCTGCAGGGTTGTAAGCTTCCCCAGGCAGGATCTGTGCTGGTACTGGGCTCTGGGTGATGGGGTACTGGTGAGGTGGCAAGGAGGTCTCTTTGGAAGGGATCTCCTTGCGCGGATCTGACGACAGAGCTGCCTATCTTAAATCTCTCAGCTGCCAGCTCTTTGAGGGCACTCTCAAGGGAAGGAGAGACGGCGCATGTGCCAAAGGGCCTGGTGCCCTTTCCTTTTCTGTGTCTTTATGTGTCCTGGAGAGCGGGGAAAGTCCCTGCCATTTTGTGTTCAGCTCTGAGCAAGCCTGCTACAGAGCAGCCCAGATCTTGTTTTAATGCTGATATTTATTGTAGCTGTGCTGCCTGTTCCCACTCATTGCTATGGGTGGGAGCCTGGGATGTTATCAGTTTGCATCAAGTCTGATTGGCCTCTCTGAGGGAAATACACATCTGTGTTTCATGCTAGTTCAGGTTGTGAACTGGTATTTTCAGGTAGGGCCAGTTTACAAAGAATACAATAGCAGTAGGATATCTATAAAGAGAATGAGTTTCACTTACTAGATTTCCCTTACTGAATTGTAGAAGATCTTCATGCTGCATCTCTGTCTCTGAAGCACCTGGCTCTCTTAGGAAAGAAGGTAGAGAGCCAGGTGGCTGCCTTCCTGGTGTGTCCAGTATCCTGAAAGCAGGAGCTCCAAAACACATTCCTGCAGTTCTCTGGGGCTGTTGTCATGGGTGCTGCCTACTTGAGGTGGGGGGAAGCTGTTCTGTGCTGGTTTGCAGTTACTGCCAGTGTGGATATTTCAAGAGCCAAATCTGAGGGGAATGTGGGGTATCTTGCATTTCCTTATTGGGGAAATGAGTAGCATTCAGGCCAGAAGGGTATGGGAAGCTGAATAGCTCTTTGGCGGCGAAGTAAACAAAATCCAATTCAGGCAGTGTCCTTCAGACAAGGCATTAGGTTACTTTCCTGCAGCAGCTCAGTGGCTGTTAACAAGGCAAATCCTCTGAGTGTGGTTGCTGTATGCAGCTGCACTCTGAAGCACAGAAAGGGGCTCAGAATCAAGAGCACTAGACATGGGCTGGAGGGTGCTTAGTGTTAAGTGGAAAGTGTGTGTGATGTGCCTGCTTTTCCTTTGATTGCATTCAGGCAATTCAACTATTTGCAACCTGCCACAAATGTTCTACAAGCGGACACCCGCGAGCAAAAGGTTTCAGAGTATTCTGCTGATGGAAACTTGACATTTTTAAAGGTGACCTTGGGAAAAGATGCCACGAGACTTGGACAAGATATGGCTAAGAGCACACAAGACTGGGAAGTAGAAGAGCAGAAGACAGTGAAACTAGTCCCTGAGGAGGCAGAGGGAGCCAAGAAAGAGATGACTGCAAAACCAGCCCCTAGGGTTGAGGAAACCAAGGAGAAGACGACAGTGAGGCCAGCCCCTGAGGCGGAGGGGGCCAAGGAGAAGAGGACGGTGAGGCCAGCCCCTGAGGCGGAGGGGGTCAAGGAGAAGATGACAGCGAGGCCAAGCCCTGGGGTGGAAGGGGCCAAGGAGAAGACAAGGGTGAGGCCAAGCCCTGGGGCGGAAGGGGCCAAGGAGAAGACAAGGGTGAGGCCAAGCCCTGGGGCGGAGGAGGCCAGGGAGAAGACAAGGGTGAGGCCAAGCCCTGGGGCGGAGGGAGCTCATGAAAGCAGCATACCCAGAGGAAAAACGAAGCCAAAGGAGCCTCTTACATCAGCAAAAACCGATGGTGTAAGACCTGTGACTCAGGCTGCTGCAGTGACAGAAAAGAAAAAACTGAAGGCTGCTGATTTCAAATCTGAGCCACGGTGGGATTTCGAGGACCAGTACGTTCTGGACAGCTCATCTCCACCATCGGTAGGTGTGCTGGCCGTGTGTATTTGTCCAGGAATGACACTTCCCTGTTGACTTTCTTATCTGCTGTCCACAGCACAAGTGTGGCCCTTGCCGTGGAGGATGATCTCCAAGGTGGTAGGCCAATCCATCACTAAACAGCTGCTGCCAGGACCTAAAGAAGGAGAGTTATATGGCTCAGTTGGCCTGGCCAGCTCTCTGCCATGCTCCAGTATGAGGAATTGTTGTAATGTTACTCTTTTCTGTGGGTTTCTTTCTTTGAATGTTGGCTAGACCTACCCTTTTGGGGGCTCAACTGCATGAGGAGCTGGGGAAAATATCATTTCTGTTAGATGTGCTATGAGGTAGATCCCATACTAAGGTGCTTTGCTCTATTGCATAGGAGAGTTAGGCGCACAGTGCAGGCCATATGTTGCCTGTGACAGAGCATCCCAAGGTAAGTGCTGTAACGCCTACTCTTGTGATGCCTACTGGCAGGCATTAGTTGTCTGACACTAACATAATGGTCCTAATATGGGTGTCCCATCCATCACCTGGTCTCCCAGGAAACTGAACATCTGCATTCTTACGAAGATTCAGCTTTCCAAACCCCAGATTTTCCTTGATCTTGATTTTATACAACCTAGCTAAAGAAACAAGCAGGGTCATGGTGAAGGAACAGGAGTAGGAATGCCTGTGTGTATGTCTGTTCACCCAAACCTGTATGTACCAAAGTAAATCAAATGCTTTGGCAGCAGAGGGAAGCTCATCACGCTTGTGCTGTGTTAGACAGTAAGGTGTGATGCTGGCAGTGATGGTGAAGAGGGACTCAGTGCACAGGGACAGAAGTTGTATTAGTTGTTTGTATTAAAGTCAAAATAAGGTCAAAGAAAAAGGTTAGATGTTGATCAATAAATGTGTGCCTACCTGCTTTGCAGATGGTATGCTAAAGGCTGTTCCCATCTGTAAGGGTTTCTGTCAATATTGGCTAATGTGTGGGTGTGCCCCATGAGTGAAAAGTGTGGCTAACACAGCTGAAAGAGTTTCTTTATTACTGTTCTTGTGGTTTATTATAAACAAGATGAGAGATTCACCCAGGTGTTGCTGAATCACCTTTTCCACCCTGTGTAGACACCCATAATGGCCAGGCAGGTCCTTTACCCAGTCAGAGCTCCACTGACTTGAGACAGTCCCTGTTTGTTGGGTTGCTACTTAGGGTTTTCTTGCTGTGTATTGAACCATCATCAGAGCAGAGTAAATTGTTCATAACACATCTTTCATTAGCAGATCTCACTTTGTTCCTGTTTGTTAAATAGGAACAACTGCAAGCCTGCTCAGCACAGGAAAAGTATTTTGGTAGAGGTGAAGATAGGAATTTCAAACGATACAGCTGGGCCTGTCAAAATAGTAACTCTTGCACAGCTACAGCTTTAAAGTTTTCTCGTGGATCCTGCTTGTTGGGAAGTTCTAGTGACCATCTCTGATTGTCTGAGCAGGTCATGTCACTGATCATCTTCCGAAAAAATAAATCTGGTCCCCACCATCAGATTGTCTTAAAAGCTGTGGAATCGGAAAGCAGCACTTTGGTATCTTTTTCTTTTCTGTTTCAAACTGAACTCTTGTTCTGAACATATTTTTGAGCTTTCTTCTGTAGTGGTGAGGGTCAGGAACTAATTTAAAAAAAAAATCTGAGCATCTCATAATCACTTCAGTCCAGGAACATGGCCCTTAGGAAAGTTGTGAACAATAGCAGAGCAGTATCTTGTGTGAGCAAGCAGATAGGAGCAGGCTGTGGTCCATAACACTGTCTCTGTCCTCCATCTCATGGTGATAATTCTTTTTAAAGCATACCCAGAGCAGTTCCAGGAGTTTTCCCTGGCACCTCTGTCACTGGGAGCTTTGTGCAGGCAAGTGGCTCTCTGTAGAGTGAGGAAGGTCTTTACATACAGGTGGTGTAAACGTCCTTTACACGGTGCTGATGTGCTCAGAGAGGAGGGAGGGCGTAAGCAGCTCAGCAGAGTATGGAAGCTCCTGCTCCACCTTGACGGTCTTAGAAGAGCCATTTGCACATTTGAAGTCTCAATGCCACAAACCTCCCCCATAGCCATGTGCTATTTTGGTGGCATTAAGGGGAATGTAGCTATGGCTCCAGGGGCATGCCGGGGCTGCAGGCACCATGTTGTTCTCCCTGGACCTCTACCAGTGGAGCAGGGGCTGCTCTTGAAAATGTTGACCCTGCTCCCCAAACCCAAGGTGCCCAGGATGCCCTGGGAGATATATGCAGAGAGCAGAGGTAAATGGGGAATCTGGGGAGGTGCTTTATCATATATCAATGAGAGCCACTATGCTGCTGATGGGGTGCACTCTTCAGCATGGCACTGAGCCACTTAAGAGAGGAGCAGCTGTCCCCAAGGATATGTCTGTTATCCAGAGATCTGCAACTCTGTTAAAGGCAGGACTTGGCTATCAAACACTTGAGCTCATACACTGGCCAAGCCTTACTGAGTCACAGCAGAGGTGCCTGCCAGCTGTGCCTGTTGGTGGAGCAGGATGTGCATCCTCATTTCTAAGCTCTCCAGGGCTGGAGGCACCCGGAGTACAAATGGGACTGCGAGAACTACATTACTGAGAATGCATATGCCATGTGGGGCAGTTCCTCACTCCTCCTGCCCAGTGTTAGTGCCTGCCTGTAGGCACGCTGGGGTTAAGTCACTGGGATCCTAGTCACTGTTGGGGGTGGTGACTCCTGGGGGGGGGGTGGTCTTGTCTTCTCATGGGATGAACGAGAGCGTATGCTCCTCCGTGCCCATGCAGCTATTCCAGTAATGCAGAGCAGGACCTGGCACTGGGAAGCCGAGAGTGTCCTCTGGTGTAGTTGGGGTGACAGAGTATCTGGGTGTGCAGAACAGCTAAGACAGTGAGGAAGACCCTTTTTCAGTGTAGAAAAGAGGAGAAAATGCACACAGAATGTCTTCAATGAAGATGTGGGTCCAAGTGTCACATATTAGTTCTCACTTCTAAACCTGATCCCTATTTCTGCAGGGAGAGAGCGTGGCTCAGAAGCACCTCTACCTCTTGAGACCACCTCCTTCATTTCCTATATGATCAGGCTTTCCCCTAGAAGTCTCCCACTCTGATATTAATCCAGTCTAGCTGTGAAGGCACAAGAAATCTTAGACCTAGGACAGTGTAAAGTACAGCTTGAGCAGGAAGGGAACGTCTCTGTCTCTGGACACAAAATGTGCTCCAAATGAAATTATGCCAATATCAAACCATCCGCAATGTTCTCACTTCACTCATGTTGTGAGCAGACAGAATGAGGCCTGTCTTCTCAGACTGCAACAGGATTGTCACCCTTACCCGTAGCAGCGAGCCTGGCTGAACTGCAGAGCACACCCTGAGCAACAGCAGGCAGGAGATGTGGAACTTGCTCTGTCATGCTTTTGCATGACAGAGACTCAAAAGGCTTTGGTCATGCATTACTGTTACTGCTGGGGATTTGAGCTGAGCCTGCGTGTCCTTTTGGTCCCCTGTTTTGTCTTTCAGTGGATATTGTAGTAAATACTTGGGGAAGATGCCTAAGAAAGAAGGGCCCAGTACAGGTCCACCACAGTGGAGTTGTCTGCTTTCTGTCTGCACACACAGGCTAATACTTGCTGGCTGTAGTAAGGCCACTCTTGTTGCTGAGGGTAAGCAGGCTTGAATTCCCATCCTAGTTGCACGTCTCCCTGTTTCCCTTTTGACCTTGAGCAAGTTATTTAAATGCTTTCTCTTATCTTTAAAGATGATGATCATGGTCATCTGATCCCATGCATTCCTCACTGTGTTTCTTCATGCGCTCAGCTCTCTGAGGCCAGGACCTTGTGAGGTGCATTACCAACTGAGAACCCTGGCATCATTTGGTATGTTTAGGTTAGGCCTATCACAGACATTGAGTTGTGTCAAATAATGAGGCCTAAAGTCGGTAAAAGTGTTTTTACTTCTGCTAAAAGGTGTGAACATTGCAGGCCTGTTGCCCTGAAGAAGAACATCTTGGAGACCTGGAGTCAATCCGGCTTCCTTGTGGGTGATTTTCCATCAGCAGCTTGTTGATGTAATACTGAAATTGTGCCCCATCCTCCTGGTGCTGGGGACATTGAGGGAGATGGCTGATGTACCCCTGGAATTCCTCTGTTTCTTGTCTGTATCCTCACACATAGACACACGCACTGACACTCAGTCAAGTTTGTCAGCTCACTGCTAATCAGGCTTTATCATTTTCTCTTTGTTCTTCAAGACCTGCTCTGACTCAGTGAAGGCCAAAGCTGCCAAGTCTGACTGGCTGCGAGATCTTTTCCTGCCCAACATCACAATCTTCACAGACAGGAGATACTTCAATGATAGTGAGTGGGACCGCCTGGAGCATTTTGCACCTCCATATGGCTTCATGGAGCTGAATTACTCATGTGAGTCCCTCAGGGCATATTCAGATGGGACCATCAAACTCCTGGCAGCAACTCTGTGACAAGTAGTTGGAGGCTTGCAGCATCTCCCTGTCACAGACAGCAGGCTAGATGGATCCCTTGGTGCAAACTGTGCAGTTTTCCCTGTGTCCCTCCCCCAGGCTCTTGATGCTAACTCTCTACTGTGTTTGCTTTGCAGTGGTGAAGGAGGTCATGTCCTTGCTGCCTCCAAACCCCCATCAGCAGCTCCTGCTGGCCAACAGCAGCAGCAACATGCCAAGATGCATCAGCTGTGCCGTGGTGGGGAATGGGGGAATACTGAATAACTCTGGGATGGGCCAGGAGATTGACTCCCACGACTATGTGTTCCGGTAAAACAGGCCCTTTATTGCTTTCCTTCTTACAAGATATCCAGCTAGCCTATTCTGGCTAGCAGGGTAATTGCGGCCGGATAACTTTGCCCTCCCACTACTGCGTTGCCTCCCAAGTGCCAAAATGACAGGTGGCAGGAGGAGAAGCCAAACCAAAAAGGTATTGGAAAATTCCTGAACACCAAGGAAGAGTCTGTCTGGGTTTGGAGATGAGCCATGAAAAGCCATCCTCAAAGCAGAGGGAAGTAGCTTTTCCACAGCTGAAGAGATGTAGCTCAGAATGGCCCTAATCTACCCTTCCTCCAGATTAATGCTCTCTTGGCCTCTTATTAATGTGGACATCAGGGTTTACCTGGGTCATTTCCTAACTCTGCTCCTCTGTTTGATTTCCTTTCTCAGGGTGAGCGGAGCAGTAATCAAAGGTTACGAAAAAGATGTCGGAACAAAAACCTCCTTTTATGGATTCACAGCCTACTCCCTGGTGTCCTCTCTCCTGATCTTGAGTCATAGGGGGTTCAGCAAGATTCCAAGGGGAAAAGTAAGTCAGGTCCATGTTGTACATGTGCACAGCTTTGACAGGATGCTGTTTTTTGGTGTTCAGTTCTGAACTTTCCCTGGACGAAGAGCAAAGGGGCTGAGGTAACATCTTCGCATTACCCTTTGTGAGGGAACCTACATCAGCTTAGCTTGACAGTGAGCATTCACAATGGCAAGCTGAGCTTGAGTCATACCCCAGCCCTTTGCTATGTAAAGTAGCTACATACCAAATGTTATCTCCGCTCTGCTTCTGTAGAATAGTTAAGAGCTGCAGACTCTAGATCTGTGCCAGAGAAACTCGGAGAGCCTAGATACCTGCTGACTTTTTGTTTTTAAAGTACATTTCTCTCTCGCGCTGTTCCTTAACGCTTACTTGTTTTCCCAGCATATCAGATACATTCACTTCCTGGAGGGCGCTAGAGATTATGAGTGGCTGAAGGCTCTTCTGTTGAACGGAGAAACCAGGAAAGGATTCTTGAATCAATACGGGTAAAAAAAAAAACGGGTCCCGTCTCTGTGCCCTTGAGCGTAGAGCACTCCACTGCGCCCTCTTCCTCTCCTCAGTGCTCTGTCCAGCCCTGCTGAGATTCAGGACAGGCTAAAGCCAGGTTAAACTCTCCTTCCCCTTGCAGATTTGTTTTTATACCTTATTTTCTCCCCAGCTCTGAGCACTGCCTTGACCAATACACCTCCTTCCCAGAAGTAGCTGGTTTCAGTGGTGCGTGCGCATATGCTTGGAGAAAGCTTTGTGGTCCTCTGGGGTCTGGTCTGATGTCTGTACCTGGTGACCTACTCATGGATGAAGGTCCAGTTTC